AGTGTAAGTACTTCACATAAGTGGAATCATTGTGACTGGCTCATTTCACTTAGCATAATGTCTTCAAGGTTCATCCATGTTGTAGCATGTGACGGAATGTCCTTTTTAAGGTTAAATAATATTCCATTATATATATCTACCACATTTTATTTATCTACTTATCTGTCAACAGTCACTGGGTGGCTTCTACCTTTTGGCTGTTCTGAATAATGCTGCTATTAATGCGAGTGTGCAGATATCAGTTTGAGGCCCCGTTTTCAGTTCTTTTGGGTATATACCCAGAAGTGGAATTGCTGGATCATGTGATAATTCTGTTTAATTTTTTGAGGAATCGCCATATTTTTCATAGCAGCTGCACCACTTTACCTTCGTTTTCTTGTATTTTATTTTTAAAGTGCCTACTCTTCTTCTTACCCACTTAAACATCTTTCTTCTACTTCAGTTTATCCCTGAGTTTTTTGTCTATTATTCTTAGCTCCTGTTTGTAGTTCCTCTTTTATCTCCTCTTACGCAATTGTGCATCCCCACATCCATGCATATGTGTTGTGACTAAGTGTACATTTTTGTGAGAAGAAGAAAGTCTACACAGGTGAAGAACTCAGGCGGAAACCTCATACCTTGTCCACCAGCTCCAATCTCAGCAACAGCATTGTTGTGGCTACTTAATACTCTATTACTTGGAGATACCAAAATTTATTGATTCAGTGCCCTAAATATATACCTTTAAGTTGTTTCCATTTGCCATGATGGACTTCTTAGAACACTTATCTTTTGGGCTCCTGTCTGTTTCCTTAGGTAAATTCCTAGAGATAGAATTTCTAGGTGAAATGAAATAACATTTTTAACTTTTATTTGCCTTCATAAAAATTGTTCAAATACACACTCCTACCAGCAGTGTAAGAGAAGGCCTATTTCCTGGATTCCTAACCAACACATTGTTAGCTGAGAGGTAATGAATGTTATCTTATGTTTGATTACAAGAAATGTTGAATTTTTTTCAGATGTTTGTTAGTTGTATTTCTTTTTTATTTTTTTTTATTTTTTTTTTATTTTTATTTATTTATTTATTTATTTTTGAGACAGAGTCTCGCTTGTTGCCCAGGCTATAGTGAGTGCCGTGGCGTCAGCCTAGGTCACAGCAACCTCAAACTCCTGGGCTCAAGTAATCCTTCTGCCTCAGCCTCCCGAGTAGCAGGGACTACAGGCATGTGCCACCATGCCCGGCTAATTTTTTTTTATATATATATTAGTTGGCCAATTAATTTCTTTCTATTTATAGTAGAGACGGGGTCTCCGGCTCCTTGGCTGCAGGCTGGTTTCGAACTCCTGACCTTCGAGCAATCCACCCGCCTCGGCCTCCCAGAGTGCTAGGATTACAGGCGTGAGCCACCGCGCCCAGCCAGTATTTCTTTTTTAAAGAAATGTTTGTTGTATTTCTTACAACTAACAACAAAATGTTAGTTGTATTTCTTCCTTAAATTGCCTATTCATGGGTCCTTTGTCCATTTTTCTGTTGGCCACCGTGCTGTAAGATTTTAAATGACAGTGTTAAGAGAAAAAACAAATTGTGAAGAGGCTGGTTTTAAAATAGAGTTCTGGGCCGGGCGCGGTGGCTCACGCCTGTAATCCTAGCTCTCTGGGAGGCCGAGGCGGGCGAATTGCTCAAGGTCAGGAGTTCAAAACCAGCCTGAGCAAGAGCGAGACCCCGTCTCTACTATAAATAGAAAGAAACTAATTGGCCAACTGATATATATATAAAAAATTAGCCGGGCATGATGGCGCATGCCTGTAGTCCCAGCTACTTGGGAGGCTGAGACAGAAGGATCGCTCGAGCCCAGGAGTTTGAGGTTGCTATGAGCTAGGCTGACGCCACGGCACTCACACTAGCCTGGGCAACAAAGCGAGACTCTGTCTCAAAAAAAAAAAAAAAAAAAAAAAAAATAGAGTTCTGGACAATGGCTCATGCCTGTAATCGTAGCACTGTAGGAGGCTGAGGTGGGAGGATCACTTAAGGCCAGGAGTTCAAGACCAGCCTGAGCAACATAGCAAGACTCTGTCTCTACAAAAAATAGAAAACTTAGCCAGGTGTGGTGTCATATGCCTGTAGTCCCAACTACTTGGGAGGATCACTTGAGCTGAGGAGCTTGATGTCACAGTGAGCTATGATGACACCATTGCACTGTAGCCTGAGAAACAGAGTGAGACCCTATCTCAATAAATAAACAAACAAACTGCAGCAAAGGAACTAATACTGTAAGAGTGAAAGAAGAGTTTGAAGACTCCAGCTAGCATATAATAGTGTGGAAGCAAGGAAGAGAGAGATTCTGAACTCCAGTTGCCATTTAGAATCAGTTAAACCAGACTCTCTGGGGATTGGGCCCAGGGATCAATTTTTGTTTTTTAAATTCCACCATAAATTTTGATGTGCCCCAAGGGTAGAGAAGTGATTTATCAGTAAAATCAGAAACTATGAAGTAGTGTGAATGTGGCAAAATACTGTGGCAATTTCAAGAAATTATCCTTTAAAAGCATGTGGATAGAGTTATTCTTGGCCATGGGAATCATGACTGGCACAAAGGAACATATCACTATATAAGTGTCACTATACCTAGTTATATAGTCTCTCAGCTGTGATAATACGAAGTTCCTTCTGAACTATAGGAAAGGAGCACCATTATTTGATCTTTCCATCTCGGCATCTTGGTTCAGTTTGCAGAAGCATAACTACTAGAAATTACACAAGAAATCATAGAAACCTGGAATATAAATATGTCCAAGGGGCTTTAGGTATATATGTGGATAATATTTTATAATGAGTTTTGGAGTCAAACCAACCTTGCTTTAAATCCTGGCTGTACCATCTTCTACTGGGTGAACAGGGATATGTTTTTGAATCTGATTCTCACTCTCCTTATCTGTGAAATGGGATGAAAATAACTTTCTCATGGGGGTTAATGTAATGATTAAGTGAATTGATGGTCATAAAATGCTTCTTGCAGTATTTATCATGTGATTAACACTCAAGAAATGGTTCTCTCACTAAAAATGTACTAATTATTCCAATACAGGTTTACTGGGTAGATGGTGTATATAGGCCCAGTTTTAGGCCATAGTGATACAAAAGTGAACATGCTACATGCTATGAGAGGAACACCACCAGAGAGCAGAGGCAGTGAACTTAACCCCATTAGATTTGTTACATTAGGACTCCTAGAGGAAGTGATTATCTAATTTTAAAGGATGTGAATGGATTTGTTCAGCTGAGAAGCAAGTGAAAGAACTTTCAGGCACAGAGAATATGATATGCAAAGATATTTGAAATACAAATGAGATTTTAAGAAAGAGCACTGTTATGAGACTGTAGGAAAAGCCACCACTCTTTCCTCTGTAGCTTCGCATATTCCATAGTCAAAAGAATAAGTGCTGGAAAGGGATGAACTATACATCTTTTTTAGTAGAGAATTTGTTTTTTATGCTCTATAAATGATTGTTAAACATTTGTCTGCTTTATCTACTGAATATCCAATATTACAGCCAAAATATTAAGAATGCTGATTGTCAAAGAAAGTAGCATAGTGTGGCCAAGCATGGTGGCTCACGCCTAATCCTAGCACTCTGAGAGGCCGAGGTGGGCAGATTGCTTGAGGTCAGGAGTTCAAAACCAGCCTGAGCAAGAGCGAGACCCGTCTCTACTATAAATAGAAAGAAATTAATTGGCCAACTAATATATAAAAAAAAGAAGTAGCATAGTGTGATTAAAAGACTATAGCAATGGAGTCAGAAGACCTGAATTAAAATTTAGTCTCAACCCCTTTACAGCTATGTATTTTTTTTTTTTTTTTTGAGACAGAGTCTCTTTGTTTCCCAGGCTAGAGTGAGTGCCGTGGCGTCAGCCTAGCTCACAGCAACCTCAAACTCCTGGCTCAGGCAATCCTCCTGCCTCAGCCTCCCAAGTAGCTGGGACTACAGGCATTTGCCACCATGCCCGGCTAATTTTTTGTATATATATATTAGTTGGCCAATTAATTTCTTTCTATTTATAGTAGAGACGGGGTCTCGCTCTTGCTCAGGCTGGTTTCGAACTCCTGACCTCGAGCAATCTGCCCACCTCGGCCTCCCAGAGAGCTAGGATTACAGGCATGAGCCACCGCGCCCGGCCTACAGCTATGTATTTTTGATAAGCCTATACTTTTTGGAATTTTCACTTTCTCCCTAAAACAGAGATGATGATAACACCTCTCCTAACCCATCTCAACTATGTGTTGATACAGTCAAATATAATATAATCAGTTTTTGATTATTCATGATAGGGATATGAAAGGAGCATGATCACCAAAACCCAAAAATAGTAAATAAAAATTTAATAATTGATTCTAGAATACATAATTTTTGTTATGCTGATTTATCCTTCTGATTATATTTTGCTTAGGATAAAATTAAAATCTGTTTTTATTTCTTTAAACTATACCAGCAGATGGCAGGAAGATGTAGCCCAGATAATTATAATGTGGTAACAGAAGTCATTTGGAATTAAAAATTTACTATAATTAATTGGCAAAATAGAAAATACAATATTGGTTTTGTGGTTGTCACTATCATTTTTATTGTTTTATAAATTCATACTTTTGTCTTCTTCAGTGAATGTAAAAGTTATTCATCAGGAAGTCGACAAATGCCTTTGTCTTACCAGTTCCCTTTTTGCTCTATTTTTCTACATCCTGATTTTCCCACTTTCCAGTTCCATTACACATACCTTTTGCCATCCTATAGTTGTCCAATCCCCACTTCCTAATACCCCATACATACCTTTCACCTGCCCTCTCCTCTTACATCTTCTAGTTCCAAAATTAGCTCATTCCCTACCTCCCTATCCATCCTCTATTCTTTCTTCAGGACTGTTCTCAACTGGAACTAAGGGGTGGGTGGGTGGGTGGGTGTGTGTGTGTGTGTGTGTGTGTGTGTGTATGTGTGTATACATCTCCAAAAATATTTGTTAATATTCGATGGTATTTTAATTTTGAACTGTATTTTCAATGTTTTGAGCTATATTCCTCTCCCAGAACCTTGTATACGAAATCCTCCAAGCCACATTGAAAGAATGTGCTCTTTTTATACCTCAGTATTCTAACCATATTCCTGGACTATGATGGGCTCCCATCACATAATCACTGTTCCAGTTTGGAAATTTAACAACTGGTTTACTTTTCCCCTTGGGCTATAGTCATGCACAGCACTTTTGCCTGGCTCTCACCCCATCGTATTATTTATTATATACCTAGGCATCTTTCATCTCAACTTTCTATGTAAGTGTCTTTTAAGGTGTAGAATATTCATTCAAAAATATTTATTTCTGATCATGTTGTAGTAACTAGTACCAGACTTACCTTCCCACCAGAAATAACTAGGAGATGGGACAAAATATGTGAACAGCCATTTCAGATATTGGACAACAGGTAGCACAGGAGAATTATCCAGAAGAGAAAGGAAATAAAGCGTATTCCTGAACCTGGCACAAAGAGAAGGAACTCAAGGAAAGCATTATCAATGATTTGAGAAAACAGAGTTTATAGCTTAGGGAGGCTAAGGAGGCTAGAATTTGTGGGAAAGTGTATTAGAGAAGAAGGAGCTAATCGGAAAGCTCCAGAAGTCTGCACAGGAGTCCCCTTGAGTCTATTGCTAAGGACTAAATGGCCATATATAGAAACTCTACAAAGCAACTACTAGAGACCTATAAACAGAATATTTTCCAGAAATTATATAGGAATGGGAGGTGTCAAGTACCATTTAGCCAGACACATTGTTGAACCTCTGGAGCATTCTATAGAGATCCCTGCAGGATCACAACTTAGTAGAAAAGATAAACTTGCCATATAGTAAAGGCTTCTCTATACCCACCCTAACGAATCTCAAAAAGTCCTTTAAAGGGATCGAGCTAATCCACATTAATTTTACTGCATGGGAAAACAAAGAGTAAAACCTTTTGAAAAAACACAAAATTAAGACATTCAGCAATGTAACATTTGCAATGCTCAGCTCTAATTAAAGATCACTAGACATGCAAAGAATCAAGAAAATGTGATCTATAATCAAAAGGAAAAAGTCAAAATAGACACAGAAAAACAGGGGTGATGGAATTAGCATAAAGGGACTTTAAAAGAGCCATTATAAATATGCTCAGTGACTTAAAAAAAATGAGAAAAATGGAAGATATATAAAAGAACCAAATTAGAGGTCTAAGAAATGAAAAATCCAATATCCGAATGAAAAATTCACTGGATGGACCTAACCAGCAGAGTGTACATTACAGAAGAAAGGATAAGTGAACTCAAAGACATATTAATAGTAATAAAGGTAATCTAAATTGAAGCACAGAGGAAAAAATACACAGAGCTTCTGTGACCTGTGGAACAAATGGTCTGCCATATGTGTAATTGAAGTCCAAAAAGACGAGGAGAGAGAGGAAGAGAGACACACAAAATATTTGAATAAATAATGGCTGAAAATCTTTCAAATTTGATGCAAACTATAAACACATAAATCTAAGAATTTCAATGAAACTCAGGCAGGATAAGCATAATGTAAACTACATTAAAACACATTGTAATCAAATTCCTGCAAATCAGTTAGAAACTCTTAAAAGAATCCCAAGGGGGAAAGACACATATTACATACAGGGGAACAAAGATTGATTGCTTACTTCTTGTCAAAAATAATGCAAGGCAGAAGAAAATGAAATGAAAGCATTAAAGTACTTGAAAAATAAACTGTCAACATGGAGTTCTATATCCTTCAAATAAAAAGAGAAAGAGTTTTTTAGGAAAACAAAAGTTGATAGAATTTATTACCAGAAAACTCACACTGTAAGAAATCTTGGCTCTTTCCCTGCCGCCACCAAGTCGTGCAGAGGCAGAGGCTTGGGTTCACCTGTAACCCACCTCCATGGCCAAGGATGGCATTGCTGCTGGAGGTGTAATGGACGTTAATACTGCTTTACAAGAGGTGCTGAAGACCGCCCTCATCCACGATAGCCTTGCACGTGAAATTCGCCAAGCTGCCAAAGCCTTAGACAAGCACCAAGCCCATCTTTGTGTGCTTGCATCCAACTGTTATGAACCCATGTATGTCAAGTTGGTGGAGGCCCTTTGTGCTGAACATCCAATCAACCTAATTAAGGTTGATGACAAGAAACTAGGGGAATGGGTAGGCCTTTGTAAAATTGACAGAGAAGGGAAACCCCGTAAGGTGGTTAGTTGCAGTTGTGTAGTAGTTAAGGACTATGGCAAAGAATCTCAAGCCAAGGATGTCATCGAAGAGTACTTCAAATGCAAGAAGTGAACAAATAAAAACTTTGGCTCATGTTCCTTAAAAAAAGAAATCTTGAAGGAAGTTTTTTAGGTGAAACCAAAATGATGCCAGATGGAAACTCAGATCCTTCCAAAGGAATGAAGAGCTCCAGGAATGGTACATACATGGGTAAATACAAAGACTTTTTCTTCATCTCTTTATTTCTTCAAAAGGCAATTGATAGTTTAAATTAAAAAGTAATAACACATTATTGTAAGTTTTATATCATGTAGAAGTAAAATGTATGATAATAATAGCACAAAGGTCAGAAAGGGAGAAATGGAAGAATATGTACTATTGTAAGTAAATTACATTTTTATGTAAAGTGATATGGAAATGTTTGAAAATAAACGTGATAAGTTAAAGAGACATATTTAAACCCTATATCAAACATAGGGGAAAAGGTAAAGTTATAACACACAAATAGGGGAGATAAAATGGAATACAGTTCATCCAAAAAAAATGAGGAAAGAGGAAAGATACGAGTATTGTAATGTCAGGTAGTGATGTTACTGTGAAGAAAATTGTTGGGCAGCAATGCTTCATGAATGTTTTCATGTCTCTGCATGATCAGCACTTTCTGAGCAAAGGTTCCTGGCATCTGCATTAAAGAATGTTCGAATGGCAAACAAGCTTTGGAAGTGAAAGACCTGTGGAGAGATTTAGAGATTTCTCCTCAGGATAAATTTGTTTTCATTCCAGGGATTGTAAACCTGGAAACCATCCCCCTTTCTCTCTTTAACTCTGAGAGGATTTATTTACACAGCGAAGGTCAGCAGGTCCTGAGTATGTGGCGCCCCCTCCTCTTTCTTCTCCCTACCCTAGAAGGGATGAGGAGCAGCAGCTATGTCAGCTGTCTTATATAAGCATAAGAATTCATTACTTGGGGGTTCCTCTCATCACATCACCCCATGGGGGATTGGGACGTGGAGAACGGACGTGTTTATTAACGTTCAGATGCTGCCTCTGATCTAGAAACATGGTGTTGTCTGAATGAGTAGAGTACTTAACAAAAATTACATCAGGAATGAGATGTCTCCTGTAAGGTGGCCTGGGAAGTCCTCTGAGGAGGTAACATGAGCAGAGATGTGGCTGAAGTAAACCTTTCCAGGCTATAACAGGGGAGAAGACCATAACTTAGTCATCTTCACTGTCTGTCCCATTGCCTAGTACACTTTTTCACATATAAGTAAATTTTAAATAAATAGAGATCAGGGATCTGACACCTGAAAGGCTGGCCACTTCTGGCTAAAGTGTTATTTGTCTGCTCTATAAATTCAAGAGTAGCTGCATATTCAAACAAGATGACATTTTAGCCACAGACTTCTTAGCTAGGAAAAGATAAGGGTTAGAAATCAAAATCAGCTAAGAACTGTTTAAAGCATAATTTTTGTTTCATTGCCTTAAATAAATCACATATATGTCTGCAAATTTAGGGTTAGGGACCATAGAATGAATTTTTAATTGGGAGGTTTCTACAAAGGTAGAAATAGATGTCACCAACTTGACTTTAAAATTACTCTCAGCCTTTTAAATGTGACATACACAAATGCTGAAAAGAACAGATATTGTTGAAGAATACAGGCAATAAGAGTGATAAATTAGTGTAATGAATTTTAATTGGGTAATAACTAATAGTACAATCTTCTGTTACAGAGGCTTCTGTTGTGGTTGCAGTCAGAAGGAGAAGGGGTTGATGCAAAAATCAAAAAGCAACATATTCTTTGACTTTTGGCTGAAGCCAGTAGTAGTGTGACCTCTTTGGTTGAAAGACTTCTCATCCCCATATCACCAGGTCATTCGTTCCTTTGGTTTGATTAATCTCTGAGAATCCATAAAAACCACATCATTGTCAAGAAGTTAAAAGCAATTGATAAGTTGTTCTGGTAACACCTGTCAGTGAATTAACTCTGAGCACAAAACCCAGGCATTTAAGGAGTTGACAAGTATTATTAAACCTGTTTTGCAAGAGAAGAAGCTGGTTCAAAGAGGGGAAAGCTGTCAAAGATAATACCATCAGTAAGTGGCTGGGGCCTCCTGCCTGGCACACCCAGGCTCTAACCACGTGGCCTCTCATGGCAGGAAAGACTGGGGTCATCCATGAACATTTATCACTGTTCCCTTCTGTCCAACTTAAAAATGTTGTGACATTTTTAAAGCTATGAATTTGTTTTCAATTCAAATATACTTCTTATGCATGGATTTTTCTGTTTGGGTTTTCTCCCTCATTTAGATATTTATGCTCTTTTAACTTTGAAATGGTAGCAACAGTGTATTTCTACTAGTGCTGCCTCCTGATTTTTTTTTCTTTGAGCACTTTATTGTCTGTCTTTGGCATCCTGCTAAAACTCATGTTTGAATTAGGGTGAATCATAGCATTGCTTTCATCCAGGGGATGCTGCTTTGTGCAGGTTCTTTCTTGAACCTCAATACAATGTCATGATTTAAATAAGAAAAAAACATAGGGAAGTCTAATTCAAAGTAAATTTGAATTTACAATTCAGAAATGCTGCTGCCAACTTTCTAGTTTCTCTCCCTACTCCATTCTCCACTCTTCAGTTTATATACTTTTTTAAAAAAATGGGCCGGGCGCTGTGGCTCACGCCTGTAATCCTAGCTCTTGGGAGGCCGAGGCGGGCGGATTGCTCAAGGTCAGGAGTTCAAAACCAGCCTGAGCAAGAGCGAGACCCCGTCTCTACTATAAATAGAAAGAAATTAATTGGCCAACTGATATATATATAAAAAATTAGCCGAGCATGGTGGCGCATGCCTGTAGTCCCAGCTACTCGGGAGGCTGAGGCAGAAGGATCACTCGAGCCCAGGAGTTTGAGGTTGCTGTGAGCTAGGCTGACGCCACGGCACTCTAGCCTGGACAACAAAGCGAGACTCTGTCTCAAAAAAAAAAAAAAAAAACAAAAAAAAATGAAATAAGCAATAAGCTATCTCAGTCTTTAACAGAAAGCAGAGCATAAAACAAAGGCTTAATACTCTATTAGCACTATACTCTAGTTAGCACTATAACACAGGAAGCAAGAGCAAGGAACAGGGAAGAAGAAGAGCCTATACAAAGATACTTAACCTTTTTGAGTTGGCCACTTCTACAGGCTCAGTCCTTCAGGACAGCCTGAGGAGCCACAGCAAAGAAACAAGGAGACCTGGAGTGGGAAGAGACTCCAGCACTGGGCAAGGCTGCATTAGGTTGCACCTGTAAGAAGCCAGCTGGTGCCCATGAAGAACTGGTGGCTAGAAAATGAGACAGGGAAGCCAGATGAATCTGAAGTAATGATAAGTGATACCCCATAATACACTAAGATATTCTTGTTGCATATACTACATGCACAAGTATATAAAGTAAAACAAATTTTTACTTCCCACCTTTCTCCATGGATACCTGTCATTTAACATTTCACTTTCCATGCATGTATATGTCATGTGAGAACATATATCTTTTACCTCTTAAAAAAACATCAATCAAATCATACTAATCTCCTTGTCTGTGATATGGTGTTGTTGGGTTTTTGTTTTGTTTTTTGCATCAAGGTTAGATATGCCATTGGCAGCAAGTTGATTTTGCCCTATAGGAAGTACGTCAGGAACCACTGAATTAACATTTATTGAATTAGTGCGTGAATAAAGGAATGATGATATGACTTAGAGCTACAGTTCTTGCTTGTGGAAGAGGAATGTTGCTAATATTAGGAGTACAGTGGGTAAAACGTGGAGTTGTTATTGCCAGACAATTGCCTGGTGTCCCCTGTCAATCTCCTCCTCCTTCCCTAACCAACACCTCCACATCCTCAATTCAGAAGCAAAAATGGATGCTACACAGGAGAAACATGGAAGAGAGACAAATGGAGACTCTTACAAAGATTCCTGCAGTGAGCAAATATCTGTTAACCTCACACTAAGTGACAGGCACTTTGTATAAAATGCAGAACAAGACAGACTTGGTCCCTGTCCTCATGCAGGGAAAGTCTACAATTAAGGAAAGAAAGAAACAAGAGTAGGGGAAAGATACAGAAGGAAAAGTAAAGAAAACAGTAAAATATCAAAGGAGTGAAGAATTTCAATGATCACTGAATTAATACAGTGCTTGTGTTAATATATGTTGTTTAGAAATGAGTTTAAATCCCAGCCATCTGCTCCCACATCTCACACACACACTGTCCCCCTGATTTCACCCTCTCCCACATACATATACATCCCAATAATAATCTGGTGATATATTTTTTTATGATTTCCCACAGTTAACAAAAAATACATTTGATTCAAGCTAGTGAATTGTGACCCAGATCTAAGTATAGATATAGTGGAAGTTATAAGTTTCTTTAGTGACAGTCTTACTAATTAAGTTATTTGGCCTGTTTTTAGCTACACTGGATATTTTTTCTTTTTAAGGTTGTTTTGAGTGTTGTTTGTAGCAGCATCAATAAGCCAAGAATTCACATAGTTACTCAATCACACAGATTACTCATCATTGCCTGCTCATAACAGAATCCTAAAATGTTTAAGATTTCTGATGCAAATCAAAATCTCATCATCACTGTCATTGCTAAATTAAATGACAGGATAATAACATTACATTAAAACCATTTTTCTCTTGATTGAGTACCTTTTTCAGAAGTGAACCTTCTACATGTATATTTTTTTTCATCAGTACTATAAATGCATTTAGAATCCAAGATAAAAATAGAATTTAAAAGGGGAGGAGTGGGATGTTTTCAAATTATTGATGAGTCTCTTTTGAATCTCAACCATATTTGACAGTGCACTGCTAAGGGGATGGAGTAGTTCAGCCCAATTTATTGACATTTTGAGAACTACATAAAGGAGGGTCACAGGTCAAGCTTGGTCTTTATTGAAACAGTCATGTGTTCTTGGCATCAGTTATATGTCATCCCATTGCAAACAGGCTATTAGTGACCTATCAGAATTGACATCATTCAGTTACTCTAATATAGTAAGATAATGGTTTCAGATAGATCACAGTCTATATGAGAAATTAATATATATCCCTAATCTGCTAAAGCAGTTTAGGTTCTCAGTGGAACTTTATCTCTTGGCCTGCCTTTCCTGTCTAAAGCTAATTAACTTTTTCACCTACCCTCTCTCCATCTGCTCCCTCCGGTCCTTAACCCACTTCATTGTGGCCAATCAGCCAGTGCCACTTGAGCCCATTTTCTTCACTTGCCCCTATGCCAAGAACTCCTCTTCCACTTTAAAGTCAGTCATTTCCTTCCATCCTCCAAAGGTTTTGTTTCTTCATATCTTCCATTTTTAATAATATGAAATTCATATCCTAGAACAAACCTTTTACCCTTTTTCCCTCATTTAATACTATCAATCATTAGGCAATAACATTACAGTAAAAATCCTTAGTTCTTAGAGAAGTGAATGACGGTATAGACTGGAACAAGAGCAGTTATGAATTGATAATTATTGAATCTGGATGATGGGTGAATGGGGGTAAGGGAAGTCAATATACTACTTTCTCTACTTTTATGTTGGTATTTTCCATAATAAAAATTAAAAACTAAACTTAGCTCTTTAGGATCCATTTTCTAAAGTCAATATTCTTTTTGAGTCAGCACATTAACTGACGTAGTATACAGGATGGACTAGGACTAAAACCTGATCCTGTCCTCTAAATACCACACTCCCACCCACACCCAGGTAAACGAGTAAGATTCTTCAGTATCTGGAACTGCAATTTCCGTCTTCTCCTTAGGTTCTATACTGGAGTATCATAATCCTAGTATACTGCCTGCTTCTTGTTACAGTGACCTGAGAAACCTGTACAGAAACATACATTAACTGTATCCCATTTATTAAATCTCACTGTGAATAAAGCTCTGTGCTGGACATTAGGAAGGAGAATGTGACACAAAGTTACCCATGAATAACCCTGATGCAGTACAAACACTAGGAACCCACATCTGAAGTAAAACTATAATAGTGAGCTGTGGGGGAGAGAGAAGGATTCTGTCAATAAGATGTACTCTTGATAATGATGAAAACTACTGAATGTCATCTTAAAGGAAAAGGTAATCTTCCCCACTTCTATTCATAGTTCTAATTGTTAGGACAAATTAGGCCATCATACAACCTTTTCTCTCTTCTAAAGAACTTAAATTGATTACAGTTACCAACATGCTTTTTTTCTCTTCTCTTTTTAAATTATAATAGTCTTACTTCTCGTTTGCCAAAAACTGGAGAAACCATCCATGGACATAAGTTTTTTATTGGCTTTGGAGGGAAAGGTGCCAACCAGTGTGTCCAAGCTTCTAGGCTTGGAGCAAAGACATCCATGGTGTGCAAGGTAAGTGTAAAGTATAGTGGAGAGGATTTGGGAGGCAAGAATCTGGTTTCAAGACTTGAATTCAGGCCAGGCATCGTGGCTCACATCTGTAATCCTAGCACTTTGGGAGGCCAAGGCGGGAGGATCACTTGAGGCCAGTTCAAGACCTGCCTACCCAACATAGTGAGACCCCTTTTCTCCCCCACAAAAAACAAAACAAAACAAAAAAACTAGCCAGGTGTGGTGGTGCACACCTGTAGTCCCAGCTACTTAGGAGGCTGAGGCAGGAAGATTGCTTGAGCCCAGAATTATGAGGCTGCAGTAAATTATGATCATACCACTGTGCTGTAGTCCAGGCAACAAAGCAAGACTTGAGTTGTTTTTATTTTTTAAAACCATTTTAAAATAAACAATTCAATGTCATTTCATACATTCACAGTGTTGTGCAACCACCACTTCTATCCAGTTCCAGAACATTACCATCATTCCAATGTAAAACCCCTTACCCTTTAAGCAGTTCCTCCCCATTCCTTCCTCCCCCAGGCCCTAACAACCACCTTCATTCTGGATTTATCTATTCTGGACATTTCATATAAGTGGAACATCTATTATGTGACATTATGTGTCTGGCTTCTTTCACTTAGCTTACTGTTTTTGAGGTTGATCCACCTTGTAGCATATTTCATTCCTTTTTATGGCTAAATAATATTCCATTGTATGGATATACCACAATTTGCTTATCTATTGATGAAAGGATTGATGGATACTCGGGCTGTTTGTACCTTTTGGCTGTTGTGAATAGTGCTGCTGTGAACATGCATGTAAATGTACTTGTTGAGTACCTATTTTCAATTCTTGTGGAAATTCATTGTTTTTAAAAATCTAAATTTAGGAGAGTTATCTTCCTTGTCTTTTCTATTAGTTTCTACTTCATTAAATCCTCTGAAGTAGCACTCCTCAAATAACTTAATGCTGCATTCCCTGAAGGTAATGAGTTTATAACTGGAGTGTGAGAAGTGAGGGGAATTAGCCTACTCCAGTGGGTTTCTAAAGTCCATCTTCTAAACAATAGCATGAGTCATCCTGTTTTTAGCAGGTTTCACTGCAGCAATACAGCTTTTGGAAACTTAGTAATTGGTGATTTGCTCAACTTCTAAGTCATTTCCTCTAATGCTATCTTTTAGATCAGAAAGGACTCTGGGACTTAATGAACACACATAGCTGATCTTTTGGCATACTTCTGTTTTTAGATATGTAAAGAAATGGCTTGTAACATACTGTAGCCCTATTTTTATCCATCCTACTGAAATAATTTGAAAATAAATAAAATTGGCTGCTAAAAGTTCAAATTTTACATTTTTCATGAAATTTTAAGATACTAGCATTACAGTACTAGTATAATAGGAAAGATAGATTATGGGGCTTAGGGGTATCTCTTTAGGGAAAGCTAGGCTGGGTCTGCACAGTAGAAGATAAGAAAAATATGAGAAACTTAGAAGAATAAATTCTCTCCTGTGAACTATATAGATTTTACCAAAATTTCTCTGAAATGTCATTTTTCATTGCATTTAGCACTTTTCTCTCCATAGGAGTCTTTAAATGATGTATAAACTATATAATTATCACTTCATCTGCTAATGAACTGTAGCTTTATTTCTAACTTATGATTAACATGATATAATTCTCATGGCTATCTGGTCAAAAACATCACATAAAACACAAGATTCAAAATAAAAAACCCTCATTTGCTAAAGTTGAGCTCTTGATAGAATTAAAATAGCAATGTAACTAATCAGCAATTAATTATATTCCAGGAACTATAGGGTTGTGAAGGGGGCTGATTAAAAATTGTAGGCCTGACCCATCCATACTTGATTAGATATGAAGGGTTTGGGAAGTAATCAGTTGGTGCTGACTTAAGGGGATCTGGGACCTGGAAAGAGGATAATACAATTTCCTGGCTGGGAAAACCTGGAGGTAGAATTGGAGTTAGAAGCTAGTTTCCCAAAATGGTTGCCCTGGGAAGAAGGGAGTTCCCTAGTGAACTCCTCCCTCTTTGAAGCATTGTGGAAGCTATTCACCTGGCCATCAAACTCAAGATTGGATGTCCCTTGGGTCAACCCTAAGGATTTTGAGATTGGTTTTATTTTAGGTCTGTTGAATTTGAGGCAGAAAGAAATGCAAAATAGAAATATTTGAATTATGGAACTGAACTTGGGAAATGAATCATGAAACCGTACCAGTGGATGTGAGAGGAATAGAATGCAGGGGGCTGTACTTTGGGAAATGTTCCAGTTGGGAGATTGATTAAAGCAAAAGTGCCATTTGTTTTATTCTGGTCTGTGTGTGATGGTTTATGTTAGCATCTGTACAATTTTGAAAGTTCTACACATCTACTGTGCCCTGATTTAATCATCCACTGTTTAACCTCACAGTGGAATTTAGCCTGGTGTCTGTACAATAGAGAATGAGAAAACATGACTTCAGCTAAAACCTATCCAGGTAACTTTGCTCAGATAACCTGGGACCTTTAGACATGGATTTACTTAAAAGCCTAAACAAACTGCATAATATTCTTAGACTTCTTCAGAAGAAAAATAATATATCTTTTTATAATAGAAGTTATGATCTATCTACCCATTCATAATATTTTTTCCATTATGAAATATATTTTTATTAAGCATATTAGCCAAACTTGCTATGTATTAGTGTTTTTTAAAGATGACAAGTTCCAAGTAGAAACCAAAATCATGAAATTAATCATGATAAAAATGAACAGATGGAGCAAAAGAAAAATTGGTAGAAAATTTCCTATGGTTTTCTTAGCAACATTCATTTACCTACTACTGTCCCACAACAAACTAGAATTCAAGCTCTTATGAAGATTGTTTGATGACACAGGGAAAACATCTTATATTAAGCTAGAGAGAAATATTTGTCAAGATATTGTGACAAAAAATATAAAGCTAGGGTTTTATCAATATTTGTAGAGTGATACAGGTATAATGAAACACTTCAAGTAGTGAGCAGTTACATAGTCAGTGTTTAACTGAGTCATTGGCCAACGCTATAATCTAATAATAATTAGAAATGGTATTTTGAGATTGAAAATCAGGCAGATTTTGTAAGAAGTCATCTTCCCAGGGTAAAGAGCCTATTAGGACATCTTTCATAGGACTTCAGCTGATTTAAGTGTCTTATCCTCCTTTATTCCATTGAAGCCAAATGTTTAAAGAGAGGAGGAAGTTATTTCTACACATCAGAAATTGGCAGTTCAGGAAGACCATGTTAGGGCAAAAATTGCAAGATGCAGTGAGTGGCCCAGTATGAGCCCAAAAGCCACCAGCAGGCATGGACGCGAATGACCCAGGGAAGGAATCAGCAAACTGGGAGGACCTTCAGGAAATTATATGGTCTTATTTCCTTCAAACATATTTGACACTATCTAAACACCTCTTTAATACAGTACATTAGGGCAGTGCTACCCAAAGTCCAGGCTGCAATCTGTCACTGGTCCAGACAGTACAGGAATTGCGATTAAGCAGTTAGAATCATTTATAGCAATTTGACAGAATAAACTTATAGCTATTGAATATAATAGTAATAATAACCCTCCAAAAAAAATGGTGGACTAGAAGCGGCCCACCAGCTCAACGCTCTCAAGGAAAGAAGTGAAATTTGTAGGCAGCTGCCTACATACAGATTGCTCTTCTCTGAAGGAACATTGTGAAATCACAGAGAAGTAACGTGGGACACTCAGTGTGGAAAAAAAAAAAGGTGACAGGGTGATATATTTGACAAGATCAAAGTACATGTGAGGAAGAATAAGAGGATAGAGCACTGGGGCGCCAGGCTCTGCTCGCAGGTGCTATGCAAATTGTGAGAGGACTCCCTTCACCGCCACAGACCTCTCCCTGGTCAGACCAGTGACCTGCCTGGAGTCTATGCAGAGTCATTGTACCAGACATCAGGAGCGGTTGAGATAGGGCAGCAGCTAAAACCATCCTGAGCCCTCTGGTGGATGGTGCCAGGTTGGTACCAGGCTGGGGAGGGAGCAGACAACTAGAGGCTCCCCTGAGCTGTGCCCTGTGACTGGAAGCTAAGCATCCCTCCCCTACAGTGCAACAGGATCTGAGCCCGGGTATTGACTGGTGTAGTGCAGGCTCCAACCTGGGAGGTTTGGGGCAACTGGTTCAGCAGATCCTGGTCCCTGGGTTGCTAGAACCGACCTCTGCCAGGTGACTTGGCATTCATATGGTCCCAAGCCAGCAGAACAGCCTGCCACTTGCTGGGCCCTGACTCTGCCCTCCAGGCCCCAACTGCCTCCTGCCTGCTCAGCCCTGACCCTGCCTTCCAGGCCAGATCAGCCCCACCTCCCGCATGGCCCTGCTTCCAGCTCTGAGCCTTGCTCAGAAGCCCTGCTTGGGGCTCCTCACCAGTCCTGGCTCTGAAGCTGTCATGCTGGAGCCCTAGGTTCTGCCTTTGATCCTCAAGAGCTCCCAGCAGGCCCAGAACACTACCCTCAATCTCCAGCACTGCACCTGGTCCCCAACACCCCACCCTGGAGCCTCTACCCCCACCACAGGCCAGAGGAACTACTCCAAAGTGCAAGGCCTTACCAGAGACCACCCCCTACAGCCTTAAACCACCAGTACAGCACAACCTGGTTCAAGCAAATGCCCACAACCACTGCCTAGATAGCCTCACCCAGCTGCTACTGTCACCTCTCCAAGAAGACCCTGGATAGAGCAATCCCCACAGCACCAGCCTCAGTGATAAGGGTCTCACCTAGTTCCAACTTGAACATCCTACAACTCTCTGGTCAACAACCCAACAACCCAGCACAAAGAGCTTCCAGCACAGCCTTAAACCTAGGTAATCACAGGCAAACAGACCAAAGCAGAACAGCTAGATTACAAGCTTCTAGTGCATATGCCCCCTCTTCTGCCACATCAACATTCCAGACTAAGAGGGGGAAGAAGCATCATCTAGGGACCTCCCCTTCTTCAAATCAAGCAGGA